TTGACTGACAAATATTCACCGTAGCTTTTATTAAAACATTGCAAACAATCGCTTTATTCTACGTCATGGAGAATTGTACGCCGTTCCAAGTTACTTGCGTCGTTATGATTTCGAATGATTTCGCAGAGACCACAAATGACTGTCCGTACGTAACGGATGACTCGGACCAAAAAAGATTCTCTGGCGATGGGGCAGCAACTTGAAACACGTGGAATTAATAAATGAAATATTTGAGAGCCAACGAGAATGTTTTGACGCCCGAGGACGATTTTTCAAATTAAAACGTTGCTAAAATATCATTAGCAGTTATAAATTGAATTAACAAAGCTGAAATCAGTAGAATTTCTGCTCCAAAGAGCATATTAGAGCAAGTTCAAACTTATACAATCTGAACTACATTAATTTACTGCCACTCGGGTTCAATATTATCAATTAAATTTACCTTTTAAGATAAAAGTTTTCTAGCTCGTGTACCAAACGAATCGCCTTAGTGTATCTCTAGTGATGCGTGTTCCACTGTTTGGAAACCCCTGACACACGTGTTTCAAATGGCGATTTTTTTTCTTTAACTAAAATTACAATTTAGTATAGCTGATCAAAAGGTTTGTATGGTTATAGATACGGAGCGTGGAGTGACGAGGATGGGTGGTATGTAAAATAAAATTTCTTCCTACGCACACTGTAGATAGTATTAATTTCTTTTCATGTCTAATAGATTGCGATAAATAAATTCGCCGCTAACGCTGGGTTGCTTCAGCTTCCTTTTCTGTGTAAGATTGAGTTAATTAAATACCTTGGAAACGCCTGATGCTTAAGCTATGAGTCATTCCACGTCAAATCGCTCACTTCCAAAACATTGCAATTATTTGGCGACTTGAAAATTCTTTTATGAGTTCTAGAGTTGAAAATAGGTGTGGCGTTTTTTTTTCTTTCTAATCCCACCCATTTCTGAAATATTACCAATTACTTTTTTCAAAAAATTAAGCGCGCTAATGTTTAAAATTTTTGCGCTAATACCGTTTAATTCAGTGATGTAAAATTATACTTACATTTGACTTAAAACATTGTACTTTCGTGTGATGCAAATATAATTTTTGTAGACATATTTAAAATATATTTTAAATTTTAAAATGCAAATTCTTACATCAGGCCGATTCCTAAATTAATTGTAAAAAATATTCATGTATTTCTACACCAATTTTGTATATATCTGCCAAATTTCAAAGTGGGGAACACATCAATAACATTTAAAAACGGTTTGTTCAACGGCGCACGTAGCCAGCACACTGTCTGCCGGACTTGCTACGGTGCAGCAATGACACGACGTCCAAACATGTCCAAACAACCGTGAGACTTATATTATGCTATGAATCGCAGAGACACACATACCGTCTCAAATGGAAGGCTTCTGACGAAATGCGACTATTAAGTTTATAAACAACTATAACTGCTAGAGTTTTCCTGAAACAGAGCAGCCTTCAAATTCAGTCACACTAAGTCAGTTGTGTAAACAGAGGAATCCGCGGAACCTGTGCGTTGTTCTGTGGAGTTAGAAACCACAAATATCTTTACAACAAAATTAATACTATTGTTATTTACATTTTCTTAATATGAAAATGTTTAATTGCAGAAGACGTGTACGTTTAGGTTGTTATAACCAGCATTCTTGAGAAGTTGAAAATTGACTGTTTGGTGCCAAAAAAGTAATTTTATTAGAAAAATGAGTTTTAAAAATTCCTATTCGTGACGAGTCAAGGAAAGTTTTTTCAAGATAGTGAGAATCGACCGTACTTGTTGATGCCGTAAATATGTTGGGCAGTGCCAATGATGAATAAACGTGTGCTGCTGGTCCTGGTCACTCTAACGTATCACCAGATACGAGTAATAAAGAAACTGACAGAGGAAGTTTTTCTGTTTCTTCTACTGTCTTCGCTCATCGTTTGCAGCCTTCTGCTCTTTTCATGCGACAAAAATAAAATTGGTTGGGAATTTTAATTGTCCAGTGTGATTGTTTAGAAAATTATACTTTCGTACTTGATATAATTCATAAACTGCTGTGAATTAATATGTCTAAATGTCTTAGCTACTCTTTTTGTGCTATACTTCAGAGAAAACAGAATTTAAATTTTTTTTCTTTCTGGATGTGCGAAATACGACACGAATTCAAAATACGCTTTTTAGTGTAAACTCATAACATTTCTCACGTACGTTTATGACAGTGTTAACAAACTTTTTTCCGATGTCATCAGTGCCTAGTATTACAAAACGAATTTCGAATTTATGCTTCCACAAAGATGTCTCCAGTGTGAGTGCTGAATGGCATTTCTTCGCTTCGCAACGTTTACGGAAAGTGACTTTATGACGTAGTGAGGGGAGAGGGAAGGCAACGATAATGTTCTTAATAAAAGCTAGCCGTCAATTCTGACAGGAACCTATTAATTCCCCCAGGACGTTATTTAGGTGGGTTGATAATGTGGAAAACTTTTCTAAATATTCAGCGTTGCTAAAATATACAGAAAACAATTCTAACAATATAAAAATGAAGAACGCACAGAGAAAATTCAGTTTTATTTCTTTATGAAAACGTCAATTAAGGATATTATCTGTAAAGTGAAGTAAAAGAAATATCAGTTTAATTAATTGTATCACATTGTCTTATTTGTATAAAAATTCCGTCCGTTTAATACCCAATAAAATCCGTTTGACACATCACTTTTTAATTTTACTTTAATAGTCATATGTGTATATCTGGCATATAATAAGATGTGAAGGCATACTTCTGTTGATTTTTTTATTATCGTCTACTTCTGATTGGCACGTGCTTGAGGGGTAACGCTCCAGCAAACGTAGCAAAACAGCAAGTAGACTTCTATTGTATTTAATTTTTCTTAATCTTATAGTTTTTTTTCTTCAAATTTTTAAATTGTCTACATTTTGGGAGAAATAAAAAAAATAGGTCAAAAGTAATTTTTTTAAAGTAATGAATTTAATACATACATGAAATTAAAGAGCATCTTTTGTTCTTTAATGTCGCAAAATATTACATTTCTGTCACAATTACAACACGAGTTAAAAATGATTAACTTTAGCGATGCTAGCATTTTTCGAAACTATTTAAAATTAATACAATCTCGAAAGGTAGAATTTAGGACAAAATGAAAAATACGCGTTTCATATTTTTGCCTACAGTTTTGACAGAAAAAAGTTTTAAAATCTCTGACATCAAGGTCAAACTGCCCTTAACTGTGTGAGATTTGAATTGGAATGACCCGCCTGTGTATTGTATTGGGAATTGAAGCTTAAGGACAGACCTTTTCCTGACGAACAGATTGCGGAGAAATAAATATCCTGGCAACGCCGAAATGCTTTAGTTAGTTGTGTATTTTTGCTAGGGAATAATTGCCACCCTGGAAGAGATCTCTGGAGAGGAGGTCCTTTCCCCTACAGCCTCATTCACAATGCAAACTTAAACGTAACGTATTGCCGTAAACTTAGCCGTAAATTTACATGTTAAAACTCACAAAAGCATTCACAATGACGAACGTAAATTTCACATGAGCCAACCAGATTGCAAGGTATTGAAGCTTGATCGATTTCGATTCGTTTCTACCATGGTGGAAAGATCTTTTCACCACTTTTTTTTTACTTCTATTTTCCTATCGATTTGTCTTTATACATAAAAAGGGGGTAGCTCTTGGATTAGTGCTCTCATTTCGTTTACTTTATAAACAAGGATTCTCTTGTACCAAATTAACAAGTGATTCATCGAATGTAATGTATATTCGCCACATCAACTTAGTCTCAAGAAAAAATGGCCCAAATTCTTACTTTGAATCCTCTACTCGTCAAAACCGTTTGCAAACAAGTTCAGTACATAAAAGTAATGAAATGACATAACCACAAACTTCCTGATAACAATTCATGTTTGTTTCTTTCATGCTGCTCTCTGATTGGTCCTCAGTAGAATTCTGACGTAAACTTAACGTAAAAACGTGGTGCGTGTGAACTCTTTTAAGTTTACGTGTACGGTTACGTCACGGCATTGTGGATGGTCTCCCTCAATAACTCTTTTCTAGGTTTTGCAGCTACCTTATGTTTACGTTGAAGTTTGCATTGTGAATGAAGCCTTAGAGATTGCGATAAAGACCGCCCCAAAGCGGTGTTGCTATGATAGGTCTGTATATTCTTACGGGAGCACTTAAGAGACCTCGACATGGAATATTTTACATTCTCGTGTATTACGTACGCATGTATCGACTAATATATTACGTAGTATGAAGAAAGGTTCGTAATTCTTGGGGAAATCGATTTTGAGATTTCAACGGAAGTTCACAATTTGCGGTTCCCTGATAACAACAAAAATCTTTTTTTACGTTTATCTACCTGTCGACCTGTCCCGCAGTCTGTCCGTAAACAACAGTTGAGCTTAAACAACTCGTAGAATTTTTTCCATAATAGCCTACGATCGATCTGCCCCAAGCCTGGCCTGCGGTATTGAAAAGATTCCTTTTAGTTTTGGAGTGAAGTATTTGCGACGTATCAAATATTTTTTCAAGAAAGACGACAGTTCGTTTCTTTAAATTTATTGTAAGAATAGAGTGAAATGCAGTTAAATAAAGATAGTTAAGGTCCAATTATCACTCTGAATTTTCGTGGGTTCCAGACCCGGTTGATGAACGATGCCGGGTCATTTCAGTTAGTTTTAAGTTTTGCATACAGGTGACTTTAATCGCCCTTGGGCAAATATCGGAGGAGAATTTCATTTTTCTTTCCAGGCTTGCGATTATTCAATACCCAGGAAACGCTAGATTGCTTAAGCTACTTCAGTACTTTGTAAATTCTGTGTATTGTATTTTGTATTTTTTTCTAATATTTCGCTGTGTATATCAGTGTATAACTCGGCAAATTTAGTTGCTTAAGCTTGATCTGCAAGTTGTAAATTGGGAACGGGTGCCGTCCTCGGCCGGCGTTCGGGAGCGCAGCTGCGCTGTGGGTTGCAGACCCGGACACGGAGTCGTTGACCAGCGACATTTCGCCCTTCGGCCTGGCGGCCGGGCAGAGGGCGCTGCTCTCCCTGAGCCAGAACGTGCAGCGCCTGCAGCACGCCACCGCGCTGCGCGACCGCAAGCTGCAGGCGTGGCTGGAGCGGGGCCTGCAGGGGGTGGAAGGGCGCGCGCGGGACGCCCTGCGCGAGGGCGCACGCGAGGTGGGCGAGCGGCTGGCGGCGCTGGAGGAGCGCGTGGCCAAGCTGGAACGGGCGAAAGGGAA